ATTAGTTGTAATATAATAATGTAATAATATATGTATTGTAATTGTATAAGTGTTATCGTAGCATTAACATTAGCATTAACTTTACGATGTTTCTGACAACGGGCCCCTGCAGGACTTGTGCTCTACTTGTCATATCAATTCACACATCGTGAGTACAGTTCCTTGTTTGTTTGTTTTGGTATTTCCGATAATCGATTATTTGTTTTCATAATCGATTATCGAATTTGAGACTATAATTGATCGATTTTCGATTATAATCGATCATCGGGACATCACTATCTCACGCAGAATAGTAGTAGAATCCGACGGGAACGGGATTGTTTGGCAGAAGCAATATCTGGGGGTGGTACTATGCACAGAATATTTTCGATACTTGTAGGTGCAGTTAGATAAAGTTAAACCAAACTATGTTCTTACTCTGAGCTGTGCTATTCTATAAATGCTCATAGGCTCGTGCCAACTGCACTGAGTGGCAACCAACCACCACCACCCGTACTCGTCCTTCTCACCACTGTGTGTTAACATTCACACATTGTATACAACATGGGACGAATCTAGTACTACACAGCTACAGAATCAGCCAACATAACGAATGAATGGATGAAGCTTGCACGATAAAACACCACAATTACAAATGGGACAAACTGAAATCTAATTAGAACACTGAAATTCGTTCGAGCAGCTTTCTTGTTGATCCGCAGAGCTCTGCAACCAGGTAGGGAAGCCCTGATCAATACACGCCTTTGCGCGATCACAGCAGCAGCAGCACACACACGCGCTTAAACACATCAGGTGTAGCTTACATGTGATCGGTGTTGGTCTGTCCCAGTGCCTGTGAGACTTGGACTGCCAGGCTGCCATCCCTGGAGGAGGTGAGCTGCCGCGCTCGCTCCATTACCTGCGGGTGGTGGAAGAACGTTTTGCTCGTCATCGTAGATGGGTGCGGTGATGGCAGGGGCAGGTCTGGCAGCACTGTAGCGAAAAACACAGACACACGGGTTAGCATGCAGATCCTGTGAATACTGTACTTACATGAGATATTAAGATGACACGAGCATACAACAAAAATCATAACAAAATTGTATTGCTATTTTCTCATCTTTGATACAAAGCTTTGTGTTACTATAAAAGTATATAAACACGTAGAAAACCCCTAAACGCAGTAAATAGGTATAGATTTTCTTTTGTAATAAATACCCAAGTAATTTTTCTGACAGCCACTGATCTGTCAGAATATACATAAAAAATTCACCGCACATGCTGAACTTAATAAACTTCACCTATGGTAGCAGACACAGTGGTGCTTGAAACATTTTCTATGTATGAGATATATACAGTAGGCCAAGACTCCGGTGTGTATGCGCGTGCGTGCGTGTGACAACTGTGTGGAACAGAGTAACGCATCCTCTAGCACAACCTACTGAAATGCGTTATTCTGAGCTTGAACAATTGAGCATAGTTCTACATACCGCTTACACAGTTATTTTCATGATAATTTGGACAATACTTATGCTAGACACATTTTACTGCTCAATAGACATTTCCACCTTGACCTCTGCTATATATTCGCAGTTAGTGTACAGATACTGGCAAGTTGCGAAGCCTGGTGTCCAAAATTTGCGTACGTTTTATGTTTTTTATTGTTCATGCTTCTTTATTAATTTTAAAATTTAAGGGATACTGTAATACCGTCGAAAGACATAGAAGTAAATATACATGAATAAGCTATTGTTCTATTTTGGGATGCAGGCTAGCTGTACAAAGTTATAACGCTGGACTAGACAGTGGTAGCATTAGCCAATTACAGACAGTAGCGTAGAACGGAGTGACTAGAAACAATAGGTAGGCGTGTCTACAAATGTGGGTACATATAATCGCGTGTTCCACTAGAGACAGGATCGGAGAGAGATTCAGAAAGAGACAGTTAAGATATATATACTAGATTGGTTAGAGAAAGCTACGACACGGCAATAACCTCGTAAGTTGTGATGATTACTCGCGCACATCCACTGTACGCGTTTGCCCCGCTATGGGCTTATACATAGTTAAAGCAGTTCAATTAAAGAGAATGACGGAATACGTATATCATAGTTGTTATGTTCTTTATAATCTGTATTTGATAGACGTTAGCAAAGGGTGTAATCTAACACTCACGCGTAACCACTAATACGATCACGGGTAGAATTCACCTTCCCTATAATACTATATCCTAGAATTTTCGAGTACATTATGATAGTAAGTAGACTCGAGATCCCTGTTGGCTGCGACTCTCTCTCGTTTTGTGGCCAGTATGTTGCTTCCGGTCGCCGCTGTGTAGCACCATTGTAGCGCTGACTCATTACGTCAGTACTACAGAGTTTACTACATCCAGCGTGAGGTGGGCACAGGTGGGGGTCATCACTATGGCAATCAATAACAGACGCCATTCATTCCATTTGTCAATCATTGACGGAAACACGCGAGGTTTCCCGAAGCTATCCTAAAGCGAGAGAGAGTCGCAGCCAACGGTGGCCGAGATGGCTACAGATATTTTTATTATTTATTTGTAATTCATTTTCATTTCAAATTCATTTTCATTTCAAATTCATTTTCATTCCAAATTCATTTTCATTTCAAATTCATTTTCATTCCAAATTCATTTTCATTTCAAATTCATTTTCATTCCAAATTCATTTTCATTCTCAAAGTTCATTCGCGAGGACGCAATCGCGGTGCAAGATGGCTACGGATATGGTGGGGGCGGAGTGACGTCCCTTCCCTTGTGGGCGACTCAACAAACCTGTCAAACAGAGAACAAACGCCATTTGTAAATGTTTTGTCTTGGTTATGATCGGTAGATTAAGTATAAGTTTTTGATGTATTTCATGAAAACACACATCTTTATCATTAATATAAATATCAATTTCACTATAATTGCCCAAGTTTCTTTGTGTAAAGGTGTTCATTTTCATCTTAATGCCTGAAAGTTTATGGAGATGGGTCTGTGCTCGTAGATACTTACATATCAAACCAAACTTCACCCCCGGGGTTAACCACTTACAGGCGCGTGTTCAATTACCTGTTGAATGACACATAAGTAAATAAGATAGCGATAACCTAAAGTTCTGTTTGGATTACTATGGTCAGTGTCTAAAGTTGTAACGCAGGCGAATAGACAGGGACGCTGGACAGGCGGTAGAATGAGCAAATCTATAGACAAGCATTGTCAGTACGGACGCGACTAGAAAAAATAGGTAGGCGTGCTACCTATGTCAGTATATAACGCGATGTTCGACAGAGAGACGGACAAGGGAAGTTGATTAGTGTTATACCAATCTACAGCATAAACGTATTGGTTTGAGAGAGCTACCTGCACAAGCCTAAACCTCGTAAGTTATTGCTGAGGTTACTCGCGCGCCCCCCACTACCATCACCCTCAACTGTACGCGCCACTTGCACGTTATGGGCGGATGCTAGTTAAATGCTCACAATGCGCCATCAAACGCTAATTTCTCAGTTACTAGTCTTCAAGACTAGCAACATACTTCGTGTCATGCTAATCACACTACTTATGACAAATAAACTCTAGTTGCTACCATTTCACTGCGCGTTTGCCCTTTTTTAAAACCCACAGAGAAAGGGTGAAAAACTGGCCATTTGCCGAAACGCCGACTGTTTTTGCCAAAACCAAGTATAGCCTCGAAGTGGTGACGTGACGTCACATGTTTTTATCTTTGCTGCGCCCGTACCGCTGTACGCGCAGCCGCCTGCACGGTTGCTTGGGGATGGGAAAACTGTCAAACAACATCGGGAGAATTTCAACAGACATTGGGAGGTATTTTTCAAAATACCTTGTTATAAGACAACGTGCAGTGAAATGGGAGGGAACTAGAGTTATGTTTGTCATAGGTAGTGTGTATTCATGCCATGCCACGAAGTGTTTGCTAGTCTAGTACTGGAGAAATTAGGTTTGGATGCGCAGTTTGTGAGCTTTAATGTATTGACGCTATATTAAAGAGATTCATGAATACGTGTCATACTATTCGTTATAGTCTATGGTTAGTCTGCACTCACTTAGACGCTAAGCAAGGTGTACACACACACATCGCGCGTAACCACTCATACGATCATGGGTAGCTAATATGGCTTCCCCTATAGTGCGGCCATTTTGGAGCCTAAAACCAAAAACATGGATCGGAAAACCATAACCCACACAAATACTCTAAGAATCAATTAATAAAATCACAAAAGAGGAAAGAGGTAGCAGTATTTAAAGTACGCGATAAAAAGATAAGCTGAGAAATATACCGGGACACGCCTCGACGGCCCGTTTGTTTACATTTTAAGCCTTTTGCATCCGCCTGTA